TATGAAACAGGGAAGTACCACCGTGTAATCCATTTATTTCAACAAAGTAACTGTATTCTAAATACCACCTTTTTAAACGGTAACTGTAACGGAAAACAGTTACTCATATTTTGTATTTTAAATACGTAACGGCGGTACATGTATTCCGTTACTCCCCAACACTGTTTATATATGCTTTTACAATTTCACTGACTAATTAATGTGGTTTCAAATAATTATTTTGGCATATTTACACTCATGACCTGTTGTTTTAGGTCCTTTTAAACGTCCTGATCCATACGTGGAAACTTGATTTGTCTGAGCCATGTGCATAAATGCTTTCACCACACCACAGATGAAAAGAAATGGTTTTCTTCCTTGTGTTGCATTAAAACTGCTGAACTATTGTTACCCGATTATGCGCACATTGATAGCGGTGTTTTTATATTTTTTGGTCTTTCATTTAAGAGATAATAATGATAATATTTGTATTTTTTTCCTTTACATAATTTTTGTCCGTTTACTTCATGTAACTGTTAATGAGCACACTTTTTTTTTTTTAGATATTCTTTACCAAAACAGAGTTAATTTAATAAGGGGAATGTAATTTTCTATTTAATTAGTGCCATATATTAGGCATTCTTTAAGTGCACGTGTAATTAATAATTTTAGCTGTTTAGCTCCCAGTAATGAAAGACTAGCTCGCAAGCGCCCCCAGCTGAATGGCAGCTACAGTTATGTGCAATAGCATTAAAAGGGAGTGGAATGACTGCGCTGTTTGTGGAAGCCACAAAGGCAGGGTCCCCTTTTCCAGAGCTAAAACTGTGAGTCAGGCAAAGACTCTTACACTGTTAAGAGTCCTGCAATTAAAAAAAAAAAGACTATATGGAGCTGAAAATTAATATAATGGATCCACTTTTATAGAAACCTCTGCCTCAGCAAAGATATCAAGTGTTACCTTCATTTCCCATTTAACTCAGACAGTTCACCTTTGAACTGATTTTTATTTTATATTTATTTTCAACAGAAGCATAATATTGTTAAGAGTATAGTGTCTAGGCTCAGAGCTCATCACTCCCAGCAGATACATTAGTGACTGATGAGTGAGTAAGTACCCCCGCCCTCCTGTCATTTTTTCAGTGTAACAGTCTCCAAACCATAGATCTTGCTGGCCCCTGTTATTTTACTGCTACCTCTACTTGTGGCTTCCCTGTTATATCCGTCTCGTCTTCATTCACATGTTTTTTCTCTTGGTTCTGACCTTTCTTCTCTCTCCAGAGCATACCTCCACCTTCTCCCTGCAGGTCAAATGTCACCTGCATCTGTCAATCTGTAGCTTAACTCCATCCATCTCTTCTCCACTCTGTCTTCCATACATCTCCTGCACCACCCTCACATACTTCTCTGCCACTCCGGACTTCCTCATACAGTTTGGGTCTTGGCAGCTCATCATATGCTTTCTCTAGATCCACAAAGACACCTTTCTGCTTCTCCATCAACTCTCTTAAGCAAGCATGACATCTGTAGTGCGGTTTCTCAGCACAAAGCTATGCTGCTGCTTGCTGATCATCACCTCTCTTTTTTACCTAGTTTTATTAGCGCTTTCTTGTTGTGAAGAGACAGACAGCGCCAACCACCCTGATATGCTACTAATTTAACTTAAGTAAAACAACAATTTAGAGGTTTTAGTCAATTTTGGTCACATCTGACAAAACAACATGCCTGACGAGGCTTAGATGGACGTTTATTGGAACATATTGGGTAAACTTTCTAAATTCGTTCTGCCCCTGACAAACACCCTCCATGTTCAATAATGAAGAAGACTAAAACTAATGAAAGTAAAATAAAACATTTTAAAAGGATAAAAAAAATAACTTTGGCCTTGATTGTAAATAAAGATAAATCTTCAAATTGGACTGTTGTCGCAAAGAGGCTACAAATTCTCTTCCAATACAGATATATTTTGTTTCAGCCAATGGGATGGATCCAATCCAGTGCACGACAAGGTTTTCTTTTAAAAATTATTTTTGAGAATTGTTTTTGTTTTTAAACAGGCAGGAAACACTTCAAACCTGTACTTTAAAAAAAAAAAATCACCTCATGTAAATTCAGTAGCTGTGCTTCTGCACGACTTACATAAACTTTAAACTTTTAAGTGAAAACAGTTGATTTTACAGCCCGTTTGTTAGCAGTAGCTGAGCAGGAAGTGATACATTTGAAAGATTTTGGAGGTGAAGGTTAAACAAGCTCAAGCTTAGACAAATTAGCATCGGTAATTGCAAATTTTGTGGTTAAAAAAAGAAATTAAAAAACCCCAAAACTGTCAAGCTTTTAGTGAAAGACCTTTGCTGGATTGTGGTGTTTTACAGGAAACAAAACCTTTTATCTGCATTGAAGTGCTCTTAAATTTTGGCACGAGTGTTTCATAAAAAAACTGAAATCCTGAGCTTTATGTCTAAAGGACTTTGTTTCAGGTTGCATTTTTGCATTCTTTCACTTTTATTTGAGGAAAACAAAACAAAAACCCACGTTTAATTTGCTTATTTTTTATTCATCAGATTTTTAATAGAATGCAAAGGTCCATTATGTGGAAACAAATTCAAACACTGTATCTGCCATGGCATACAGAGACAGGAAGAGAAGAGACTGCCAGAGACAGGATCATTACCGTTATCAGAATGTAAACTTTACAGAAGAAGAGATGATAAAATGCCACGTGAAGGCATCGATATTTACTGGTCATAAAAGTGTGACAGTGAATAAACGACGAAACACTCCCCACAAAAACATCTGCAAATGTCATAATCACACAGATATACACTGAAGACAAAAATAATTCATCCTTTTTTTTTTTGTTTGTTTGTTTTTTTCTTTTCAAGTCTGTGTGGCTTCACCTACAGCACTTTTCTAAAACAAAGCAATATACACCTTTCAACATATCCTCACATTTACAAGAAATTCATTAGGGAAGCATTTGTTGCTTAAAAAAACAAAGATTAAAAAAAAATTGAGCTTTTTCCTGCGAAACAGACGTTCCCTTCCGAGTAAAGAGGAAAGCAGGGCTTGGGCTAGAGTGTCAGAGAGCAAAGTCGATGACTGGCTGAAACACATACGTAGGCATCACTTATTATCATTCACACAGGTACTGCTGAGAGGATAGTGTGGCAAATAACGGACCGGCAATAGTGCAGCCGCTGATTAGGGAAACTAAAGGACGAAAGGAAAGTGATTCTTGCATGATAATTATTTTTTCTTATAGCTTTGCTAGCATGCTCTATATGGAGCTACTGGGGCTAGCAGGAGGACAAGATGTAAGAGAAGAAGAAAAGCCAGATGGGAGGGTTGAAATGCTAAATATGAGGGAAGAGTGAGTCGCGAGCTTGTTGTTTAGTTCATCTTCTGTCCGAAGCATCACTTGCCGTCCATGTTGGTCTTTGGAATGGTGTTTAATGGATGGTCTGTTCTCTTTTTTGTGCATCTTCTTTCATCTTTCCTTTCTTTAACGGCTGTAACCGAACTCGTCTGCGTCGTCGGCACGGAAGTCTCCGTAGCGCCAAATGTTGAGCTGATGGGAGGACAGAGACAGATCTCATTGACCATACTGACACAGATAACTGCACAATGTGGTGAAAATGTCCCATTGCTTTGAATGGAACTTCCAATAACCTCTCCAGCACATTGCATGTTAAATGGACAAGAAAAAAGAAAAAGAAGCTAAAGGGAAGAGAGAGCTACAGTGCAACAGAGAGAGAGAGAGAGCTCAGTGCTTTCACAGACCAGTGCGAAGAGCCAGCATCATCATCATCATCATCTCCATTTAATCGGACCAGCGTATCCAGGAGGTTCGCAGTGCCTCAAACGCCACCAAGTCTATTACTTCTCCTATTCCATTACACTGACAATCCTGCACTGCCCCATAAACCATCTCGTTTGCCTGAATGTCGGCTTTACCGCGACGTGGTTGGCAAAGAGTGTGCGCACTTTGGAACAGCACCCAGTTAGTTACTGCCTTTTTAAAAGCCGTAGAAGCCGTCCGGTCTGAGAGGTGTTTGTGTGTATATGCGCAGGTCTGCTGTCTGGGATGCTTCTTTTATGGCTCTCAGAAGCATGCGCGTTCAGCTGTTAATGCTGTGATTCATACCTAATTAGCGACTGTGCTAATTAGCAGTAGTTATTAGAATGAATGAAATGAATGAAGCCATTTCCCCGTTTTGCACTCCGCTGCCTTTTTTTTTCTGCTCCTCCCTGACACCCTGAAAACATGGCAGTAACTCCGATTGTGATTACAGTCAATTCCACCTCTGACTGACTCATTGTCTGGACATGCTGTATAACCGCCGGGTAGCTAAAGCGTCACAGGAGGGACTGATTCTTTTAGAATGTAGAGCCATCATGCTTTACAAGAGTAAACAAAGCGACATCCAAGTGTCTATTGCGTGCTCCTGGGGCTTTTTTTTTCTAGGCTTTTTCTTTTTTGTACGATCCTGTCAAAGTCTCCAGGTTTCAGCCCTTGTCAACAGGACTTATTTGAACAGACCTTTATTACTCCTCTATTATTTTTACATAATGTCTTTTTTTTAATTTTTCTTTTAAAGTATGGCCCCGTAGAGCCGTGTTTGACAAGTGAAAGGTTGATGGTTCAATTCAAGCTAAAGACACTAATCCCCTTTGCGGTTGTGTCAGGAAGGGCATCTGTTGAAAAATGTGCGGTGCTAACCGCTGGGACGACCCCTTGTCACAAGAGGTTCAAGTGGCTTCTATTTATTTATGTTTTAAAGGATCAGGATTCAGATTTCCTGAAGAAGTTGGGTAATGTAGTTTCAACTCTTTAATCCTTAAAAAAAACTTACTAGGAGAAACCATAGAAGCTCTTTTCTGAACTGAGTGTTTTCTGTAATATTTCAGGCCTGCTTATAGAACAAAATGACCCGGTGCGCTTCAGAGATTAGTGAAGGTGGTCTCTGCCTGTGCAAACTGTCCAAATAATCATCAAACCACGTCTTTTTATATATCACATATATCTTTGATATGCTGATATATATGCATTAAGGTACAGGGCAGGTCGTCACCCTTATGGAGGAACGAGTCTTATATCGGAAAGTTGGCATATGTAGTGCACTGGTGACTTTTAAAAGCAGCAGGATGAATATGTTTTAGTTCATTATTGCCAAAAAAAGGCAACGACTTTCTAGTTTCTTGTGCATATTTATGATATCATCAGTACATAGATGCTTTTGGAATGGAGGAAGTAGAAACTTCAGTAGAAAAGGAACCTTTGAGTGTATACAGCACTTGACCTAGACACAAGTGTGGCAATTTGGACATGTTATGAAGTCTAAACATCAGCTGTGTAAGGGGAAAAAAACACAACACAACAAAACACAGAAATGAACCATCAATGGTCTCCAGGCTTTATATGTGAAGGAGGAAATTCAATATGATGTTCACTCTAAGTGAAAATCACATTTCCACTCACTACCTAAGGAACCCCACACACAGTGAAGCGATGTATAGAGAAAAAGAAATTGAAACAGTATTACGAGAAAGTAAACAATGGCACTCACAGTGTGTCTGGAGAGCTGGACTCTCGCAGCCCTCCCCGTCCATCTGTGCTACACATAGCGCGAGATAGCACTACACATTAAATTGTAACCCCCCACCAACTAGTCCCTAGAACTCTCTGGTCTGAAAGCACTTATTGTTTTTACATTTCCTGGGTTCCTTTCCAATCTTTTGCTGCCAGTTTCACTTGGCTGGCCGCACAGTTTACTGGTCACAGAATAAATAGATTTGCGGCGGATTGTTATGTCAAAACTCCGACTCGACTCATTCCAACATGAGAGCCCAGTGTGCTAGACCCTAAATCCTATTCATTCCTTCCTCACTATCCCCACTGCACTCTTTTGCACAAATCCCCACCCCCCATTTTCATAGAACGGACCTGCACAGACTGTGGGCAGCAGTCCATATGGGACAATGCTGACTGCCAATGTAATGTGTGACATCTTGAGAAAGAGAAAAAGCAGAGAGGAGAGGATACACTTTCTCTCTGATAGTTTCCAAGGGAGAGTAATTAGTGTTGTAATGTATTCTTGTTTTGGCATCAGTAGATTTCTCAGAGAGGCAGACAAACTACAGGAGGAGGCGACGGAAAAGTGGAAAAAAAAGGAAAAAGAAATAGAAAACGACAGACAAAAAGATGGAGGCTGGGATGAAGTGACTTACCCTGGCACTCTTGGCAGATTCTTGACTGTTCAGGTACTCTGTCACCTGAGGCAGAAAGAGACAAGTCATTAGCATATCACATCCCTGCGTCACCCGTAGGATTTTAAAGGATTAAGGTGAATCAATGCATCCTTTCAACCTGTTCTGCCCCTGAGACATTTCTTTTACCTGCATACATGGAAATTTACAAGTTTTTTTTTTTTGCACAAAGTTCACTTTTTATAAAGAAGGGTACTCGCTCACCCTCCCCTTCAGCACTAGATGGAAGGAGCGCAATGTTCTCTGAAGATCAACGAGATCGAAACAACACGCAGACACAAAGTGGTTATGCTACTGCGGGCGATGCAGATCACACAAACATGCAAAGGAAGCACACGGAGCTTCCGACATCATGTTACAGCACAACGCTTTCTGTAACTGAGTTAATCCACCAATGGGAGTGGCATCACTTCATGCTAAGTCACTCAAGATACTCATACGTCGATGGTGTACAGAAGATTTTTTTTTTAAACAAGTGCATTTGAAGTACACCTTAAAGGTGTTCTCCTTTGGTGTTTTTTTCCTCTTTTGGTACAAAAACAGTTCTCTTTTGTTTTGTTTTTACAGTAAGGTTGTGGAACAGTGAAAACTAACAGGGAATGAGTCAGCTATGAGCAGTACTGTATAGCTAACTATAGCAACTGTTTGCTAAACAAAAAGCATTGTAACGGATACTGTAGGTGCTGTGCAATTAATCAGCTACAACTATAAAAACAACACTGCACGGCACTTTGTAACGACAGCCTCTTTTACTGGTTTTACCCCTCACTCACTGACTCTCCGATAGGCTCCGGCAGGTTTAGCTGAATCGAGCTTTTTCTCAACCAGAAGCGCAAAATCAATTAAGCTAATTAGAAACATACAATAGTGTAAAAAGGAACCGAAGATACAGATCTGCTGTTTTCTTTTAAAAAAAAAAAGAAGAAAAAAAAGGTATCAAGTAATCATAATTATTTGTTATCTCAACTTAGAGCCTAGAGATAACATTGAATCAACTTGTAATTAGCAACTACAGCCAACGTGATGTTTATTCACCAAAGGCTATGCAACGATGAACTATCAAAGTCTTCAAATGAACTTAAATGCTAAAACCTGATGCCTTAAAAAGTGGAATTAAGCTATGACATTATAGTAAAGCAACTGAGTCTAGGGTAGCAACTTGAGCATGTGCCATCTCAGGGTGTATTTTTTGATAAAATCTTTAAATCTAAACTTTCTAATCTGTGATAAATAAACCTAATATGAAATAAAAACAAAGTGTACGAGTATTATTCAAGCTGTAAAGTCCCCAGATAGTTCTGCCACATACTGTATATAGAAACTCTTTCCACGCTATCCATTTGCTCAATAGAAGTGCTGCTTTAAAAATATCTACTCAAAGGTAATATGCACATATTGAGAGTATGGAGAGGATTATACAGGAGTTGGAGGAGAGAAGAGAAAACCAATGTGCAGTGTTGAGCATATTGACTGCTTCTGCTAGAACAGCCATTTAGCCTCATTGAATGAACCAGTGATGAGTCATAGGGCAGGGGGTGGGGGTGGGGGGGGGGCAAAGGGAGATAGAGAGACAGTTTGCTTAGGTGGGTACAGTGTAAGTGGATGTTTGGACCTTGAAAAGCTCAAGCAACAGACCCTTGGAACGAGATGTCCTCCACCACTTACAATATTGGATAAAATTATGCACGAGGTACACAAACACAAATAAGAGGTTGCACCACATCTACCGAATAAGCACAATCCGTACGATGCATGCATGAATTTGTTCATTCCCGTCTTTTCTGACATAGTGGCAGACATAACCATGACAGTAAAAGGAAAACTTTAATGAAAGAACACAAAGAAATCAAAAGTCAATTGAAAGAGAAGTCATTGTATTTACACATAAAAGACTCCGTTTTCCAGCATGTTTTGAAGGCGATTATAATAGCAGAAGAGCTGGTTGGCACATACACATCTAGAACAAGGATGCCAGATGTTAAAACAGTCGAGTGTGGATGAGGCTCTGGAGTTTAATTGCTTAGCTAGCTTGTGCACATAGGTTGATTTGATAGCTGCGCTGCATATGGCACAGCCAAGATAACAGACCTGTCTGTCTGTGTGAGCGCGTGCACATGTAAGTGTGCGGCTGAGGAAAGTGCTGTGGCTGCACAAGTCATCCGTCAAAGCCAGCTAAAGGAGAGATTTTTTTGTTTTTGGAAGGCATTGGGATCTGGCATCTTGGTCCCATCAGGCAGATGTCACCATATGGAAGACCCAGCCGAAGATATTTCACAGACACAAAAGGCCAGTGATGCCATTTGGGCTTTGGAGGAGAGCTCTCAGTGCTCACAGCAGTCTTTCCCAGTGCAACACTTGGACAGCTAGGGGAAGCTAACATGATGGGGAAGAGGGTCTCATACGCGCCAAAGTGGATTAGGCAATATATAAACACAAAATAGAGAATTGCATTTGTGAGGAAAAATGGCAAACCCCAAAAAGAGCTCAACTTTAGAGGAAATGTATTCCATCTGCACTTTTTCCAAACTCCATAGAGCTGAGAGGCTGAATCCAAATGCTAAGTATTCTGTGAAAGATGCAAAGTCAAGAGCACTACAGCACAATATGCACAGATGATATGCTGCCATACTGAAATTATCATGGTGGGCCTCTTTGTACTGTGGTCGGGAGGGTGCCTTTCCTGGCTCACCCTCATCTTTCACTGTTCCCCTCACTTCACTTCACTGAGCACAACAGCCAATCACTGTGCAGCTGAACACAGATGATGACAGACTTTGGATTTCGAACGGCTGCACGTATCCTGTCCCGGATCCTTCTTTTCACAGCTTTTCTATTGGCTCCAGTAGAGAGGCACAATGGCTCATTTGTGACACAAAGTGATATAAAACCCGTCTGGAGAGGCAAAGAAAAGGAATATTTATCTTTATAGCAAACAAGGGTGTCATCATATAGATGGAGGAGGAAGGGAAATGTAGAAATGATGGCAGGGAGGTAGAATAAGTAAAATAATGTGCATGTAAAGTAATGAAGTCCAATAAGAAAAGAAAAGAAAATGCAGAGTTTGTAGAGGGTTCAGGTAGCAGAAGGCTGCGGGCGACAGTGAGCTTGTCTGGATGACCCTACAGAGCTCCCATATGCCAGACAGATGCCATTAACGGTGAGCAGTGGCTATGGATGCTGGCACCAGAGAATATGTTGTTGGCTAAGGAGGCTGCAGTGTACGTGGGAGTGCTCCTGAATGCATGTGATTTCATTCTTTGCAATTACTTGCAACAAAACAACTAACAAAAAAGTTCTACTGTAAAAGACTGAGACTGAAAACATCTATCTGATACTCGCATTCGCACCAAAGGGGAAGGATCTGAAAATACTTTTGACTCAGCGTTAATGTATGCAGGTAACTTTCTCACGCAAGACTTGGTGGGAGACTTTGTGTAAGTGTGATGCTTCCCGTAAGATGAACGACAGGTGGTGTCGGTCTGGCGGTTTGGCACTTGTCTGTGTATCTGACTGGCTGTGAATCTGCGAGAGTGAGAGTGGCAGCGAGGGAGGGAGACCGTGCATTTCCCCGCACTGGCCAGCATGCCATGCCCAGGTGGTGTTCTGCTAAGTGCGGTGTGAAAGTGGCGGATCGGAGCGAGCGCTAACGCGGCACTTTTGTGACAGGTTGTGCACGTCTGGTGCGTAGGTGAGCTGCGTCTTCTTTGAATTTCACAGCACGTGAAAATGCTAAAGTAAAGCCAGATTTTTGGATGGCGTGTGTATGAAAAACAAGTGACTAATCGACGTTTCGGTGCCCGGGTGTGTTCACGTGGTCCTCGCTGACGATATGGGATGTCAGAGGACTTAAAAACCACCCGAGTGGAAAGGGAACAATGAGGCGTGTCCTCTGTGCATGTTGCACTTTTCTCATTAGCAGCAATGATGATCAGGCGCACAGCCTCTCAGACACATGCAGTCAAACTCCAACATAAAAACTGCCACTAACAGCCTTTTGTCACTATTTCTTTGTTGCTGCTTTGCTCTTGTTTTTTTTCATCCCACTCTATCAATGCTTATTTCGTCTTGTTTCATGTCCCCCCCCGCCTGCCTGCCATCACAGCCTCCTTTTGACTACACTGAAAACAAAAAACTCTGCAGCAGACGGATCGTCGTCAGAGCTTCTTCCAGAAAATAATAGCTTTCATGTCTGCAGCTCAGGGTGTTTCCAGTTGAGAATGCTCTGTTAAGCAATGGACTGTCCTATGAGACATCTTTCAATCAACATGTCCACGCATAGCTAACAAGGGAGGGACTCCTTGAAGGTTTGTCATGTGTCAGGACTGAAGGAATGCAGTGGTGCTTATGTAAAGACAAGATAGAAACACTACCACTGAATCAGAATTTTTATTTATTTTTTTTAATGGATGTAAAACAAAGTAGATCTACAATGTCTGGCAATTAGTTTTTTGTGTGTGGCTTTTATTTCTCCTAATCCTTTCTTTACTTCCTACTAGGACTGCACAAATGATCAAACACTTACAATTAACTATTTTTGTTGGCTTATTTGTTTATTTTGACCACAAAGTGAAAGTCTTCAGATTCAGATTCTGTCTTTTCCGTGAATGCTCTGGCATTAACTAAGCAAGGGAAATTGAAGCTTCTGAAGTAGACATAGAACCCAGCTGGGTATTTAACTTAGGTCCCTCATGCTATGAGGCAACAGTGCCAAATAATGAGCTACCAGACTACCCTTGTTGGCCTGCAACACTTATTAAAACCTGATAATCGAGATAAAATGAAATTAGCAAAACTCCATTTTGCGATGACCCATCGTTTTATCTCGTGTTAGAAATCACAGCACACAGCTTTCCTTTGCACCGGTGTGATTTTGCTCCTTCCCAAACCCCCACCAAAGAGCCAAAGCACATCGAGTGCATGAGTGTCATTGCCCCTGTCTGCTGCAAACTAAGACTACATCCTGTTACATGCTGGTCCCCCCAGCATGGCTGTCGGATGAGATCAGA